GACGGCCCGAGGGGGACCAGGACAGCCCCAAGACGGGGTCCAGACGGGAAACCCGGGCGGGTGTGTTGAGCCTTCGACCCCAAACCGCCGCCCGGTTGCCCCAAGAAGCCTCCAACGGGCTCCCAGAGAGCTCCGAGAGGCGCCCCAAAAAGCTCCCAAGAGGCCCCCAGGATGCCCCCAAAGGTTAAAAACTGCTTCCCAAACGCCCCCGAGACGCCTCCCACGAGACTCCGTCTGCCATCCGCGTGGCCTCACACCCGCAGCCCTGGCACGGTGGCGGGATGTGCCGAAGGCCGTTCGACAATCAGTCTTCTGGTATTCAAACATATGCCCGCCGTTTGTACACATGCTTTCTAGCCGTGTGCGTGAACGGCGACCACTGAAAATGTCAGCCACAGAAATCACTACTGCCGGTCCGGGCTGTGCCGCATTTGCCGTGGGACCCGGGGGAATCTTTGGCGAGCACGCGGTAGATTGTCCACAAGGGCCCCTGACGCAAAATCCCCCGACCCCTTGGGGTGTCATCAGCATGTGAGCTGCTTAGTTACCCCTCTCCCGACCGGTCCGGTCGATTGGGAGGGAGGGGGGTCCGCCCGGATCCCTGGGCCTGGACCCGACGCATCATGGGAGGATAGAGGCCACCACTATCATCATCATCATCATCATCATCATCATCATCATCATCATCATCATCATCATCATCATCATCATCATCATCATCATCATCATCCATTCATTCATTCATTCATTCATTTATTCATTCTTTCATTCATTCATTCATTCATTCATTCATTCATTCATTCATCATTCATCATCATCATCATCATCAGCAGCAGCAGCATCATCTGCAGCAGCATCATCAACACCACCACCAGCAGCATCATCATCAGTATTATCATCATCAATATCATCAACATCATAATCATACTCATCATCATCATCATCACCATCATCATCATCATCATCATCAGCATCATCATCCTCATGATCCTCATCCTCATCCTCATCATCCTCATCCTCGTCCTCATCAGCATCAGCATTAGCATCATCATTATCATCGTCATCCTCAGCATCAACATCCTGATCCCCCTCCTCATCAGCATCACCATCATCGCCATCATCATCGCCATCGTCATCGTCATCCTCATCCTCATGCCCATCCTAATCGTCATCAACATCATACTGACCATCATCACAAGTCATCATCATGACCACCATACTCTTCATGATCGTCATCATCATCATCAACATCATCAGCATCATCATCGCCATCATCATCACCATCATCTTCGTTGTCGCCGCGCTTCTCCTCGCTCCTGCTACCCGCTCCTCCTCGCTGCTCCTCTCCACTCATCGTCGTCCTCGTTCTCATCCTACGCCCTCTCTCTTCACGATCATCGATCCTCCTCCCTGCTCCCACTCTGGATGTGGCGTTGGCAGAACTGGGTTTAGTGGGACCTGGTTTAGCGATGTGTGGGACGCCCCCCCCCGCCCCGTTCCGCTGACCGAAACTGCCGCCACTCGGAAAAACACCAGTTACGGCAGACCTGGTTTAGCGGTTCTGGTAAATTCAGGGGCTCTCGGGCCCCACCACGGGGTCCCCTTGCCCGGGGTCTTGGCTATAATACCCGACGGCAGTCCTTGGCCTCTCGCGAGGGTGCCTCTCGATCCGACGCCCGTCGGCGGCGCAGCGGCCCCGCGCAGCCAGCGGCGCCTGCTGGCACACTACAGGAGGTGCCCCCCGCCTGGCGCCGCAGGGCGTGCTCGGGTGGAGCTGCCGAGTGCCTGCGCTCGGGGAGGCGCGACCGACCGCAGCTCTGTGATCGACGCTGATGTCGTGCCCTGCTCCCCGCAGATCACGCCATTTCCTGACCTTGTGGTCGGCGATGTCTTTCGGATGAGCGATCGCGCGACCCTCGACCTCAAGCTCGTCCTGGGGTGCAGGATCCCCCTTCAGCCCTGGGACAGGCGTCCCCGACATCGAAAAAGTTTACTGTATACCGTTCTTCGCCCGCTGAACCTTGGGGGTATCAGGAAGCTCTTTTGACACGGGCCGAGGATGCGAGCGACCAGTGAACTGAGGACTTCACAGTGCAAGCGCAACGCATGGCAGCGCGAGCGCGCTCTCGTGCCTTTGCAAGCATCGCTGGACGAGTTCCGTGGATCGTTACCTAATCTGCCCTGGGAGTCCTGCATCAGAGCAACAAGGGGGATCCTGACCACAAAGTCAGCAAATGGCGTGACCTGTGGGGAGCAGGGCACGACATCTGCGTCGAAAAAACATGGGCCTTCTTGACAGAGCTGCGGTCGGTCGCGCCTCCCCGAGCGCAGGCACTCGGCAGCTCCACCCGAGCACGCCCTGCGGCGCCAGGCGGGGGCACCTCCTGTAGTGTGCCAGCAGGCGCCGCTGGCTGCGCGGGGCCGCTGCGCCGCCGACGGGCGTCGGATCGAGAGGCCGTGGGGATCGTTCAACCTTGAACGATCGGCCATTTCCGAAACTTCCAAATCGTTCCACATCGAAAGATTCTGGGTCGCCCGCGGCGTTCAACGTTGAACGCCACAGGCGGGGTCGCCGCCGGTCGACACGACACGAACCTACCGTATCGAGGCCGTGCTGACATGGCCATGGCAGCTCATGATCGTCTTGGGGCGCATGCTGGCCAAGAAGAGCGGCGGGGACAGAATCACTGGGTTGCCTCCGATGCTTACGCGCGTATGGTCCCTGGCGCGGGACTCGTTCGTAAAGTCTTGGGCCCAAGAATCCGAGCCCTTGGGGATACTGCAGTGGCCGGCAATGCGAGAGGCGGTCTTAGGAGCGTCGTGGGAAGAAGTACACCAACGCCTGGACGCTTCCACTGGGCATGGCCTCCTCGACATCCAGAGTTTCTGCGACAGCATGGAGTGGCTGAGTTTGGCTCGGACTGCGTTGCGGTTGGGGTTCCCTCCAGTGATATTGTTCTTCGAGCTTCAGATGTGCATGTGTCCCCGTGTGGTTGAACAGCTTGGTGAGTGTTTCCGCGCCTTCCACCCTACGCGGAACGTGGTGCACGGCTAACGCGATGGCACGCGATTTGCACGTTGCCTGACCTATTGATTCCTAATCGTCCTGTGGTGTTGGGTCCTCGTTTCGAAGAGAGCACCCCGCTTCCTCTTCTCCCCTTCTCCTCTTCTCTTCCTCCACCTCCTCCTATTCCTCTTCCTCCTCATCATCCCCCTCCTCCTCCTTCGCCTCCTCCTCCTCCTCCTTATCCTCCTCCTCCTCCTCCCTCCTCCACTGCGTGCCTCTTCTCTCCGCATGCCAACCAATTCGGCACACCCCTCACACGCTTCGTGGCTCCATACGGTTTTCCACCGAAGGCCACAGTGGCAACGTTCGCATGCGTCTGCCCCACCCAGTACTGCGCTCGGGGTCCCATACGGAGCTCCACCGAGGGCCTCAATGGCGACGTTCGTATGCGCCCGCCCCACACAGAACAGCGCTGCGTGGCACCATAGGGAGCTCCACCAAGAACCCCGATGGCGACGTTCACATGCATCCGCCCCACACACAACAGCGCTTCGTGGCCTCACAGGGAGCTCAACCGAAGGCCCCAGTGGCGACGTTCGCATGCGTCCGCCCCACCCGGTACAGCGTTTCAAAGTTTCGTGGCCCCATAGGGAACCCCACCACCCAAGACTCGGTTGCGACGTTCGCATGCGTCCGCCCCACCCAGTACAGCGCTTCGTGGCCCCATAGGGAGCTCCACCGAGGGCCCCAATGGCAACGTCCGAATGCGTCCGCCCCACACAGTGCAGCGTTTCGTGGCCCGACAGGGAGCTCCACCTGAGGCCCCAGTGGTGACGTTCGCATTAACCGGTCTGCGCCACCCAATGCAGCGCTTCGTGGCCCCATGGGGAACCCCTTACGTAAGGCCCCAGTAGCGACGTTTGCATGCGTCTGCCCCGCCCAGTGCAGCGCTTGGTGGCCCCATAGGGAGCTCCACCGAAGGCCACGATGGCGACGTTCGCATGCGCCCGACCCGCCCAGTACAGCGCTTCGTGGCCCCATAGGGAGCTCCACTAAGATTGATCTGGGCTCCGAATACCACTACCCGTTTGCAGATTACCATTGGTCCGTGCTCCAAGGATCACGACCACTGGAAACGAAAAGGCGAGACCCTGGAAATAGCCCCCCGCGCCCTGGAAACACACGGACACCCGGCAATCCCTGGGCACCGCCCCCTCGCTCGAGCGGGAGCCCCTCTGCGGCAGACGTCCCTTCTGTTTCCAGCGAACGGCCCTTTCTTCCCACGGTGTGTGTGTGTGTGTGAGAGAGAGTGAGTGTGTGAGAGAGAGAGAGTGAGTGTGTGTGTGTGTTGTGTTTGTGTGTGTTTGTGTGTGTGTGTGTTGTGTGTTGTGTGTTGCGTGTTGTGTGTTGTGTGTTGTGTGTTCTGTTGGGGGCGCTTCCAAAAAACAACGCGTCGCTCCCTGCGGAAGGATCACGACTTCCGCGACGCCCCCCTTTCTCACCTCCGCTGGGGTCTTCTGGGGGGACCTCGCGTGAGGACCGCCAACGCGAAACCGCCAGCTTGAAGTTCTCAACGCTCCTCCCCGCGTTCCCCCCTCCCTGCTTACACCGCCAGGGGGCGCGATCGCGGGCCTCACTTCCTCGCGCGGCGGGGTGCCAGAGCTGCCAATCGCGCGCTCTTCTGCCCACGCGTCCCTCTGGATGCTCGGCCTCAGTGGTGGCGGCTGGGTGCCAGGATGACGCGAGCTCGCAGGAGAACACCGCGAGCTTGCCCCGAGGTCGTTCCAAGACTACCAGACTGCCCCAGGACGTCCGAGAATTAGCTACAGAGAAGCCCGAGACGACCCCAGGAAGTCCCCCGGACGCCTCCAACCTGTCTGGCCTCAGCCCATGAACCCATCAGGATCGGGGGGAACCGGCGGCAAAAGGCAAGGCCCTCCGGAGAACCTGGGATTCCCGCGTCTCGACGGGGACGGGCTTAGCGCGGTTCCGCCTGGCCGACGACTGCTTGTTGCTGGAGCCTGGCATGGCTACGAAAACGCGCCCCAAGCAGCCATCATGATGCAAAGTACTACTCTTGGGCCGAGAAAACAGCCAGAGCGTGCTGCTGGACGGCGGACTGCCGCGCAGTGTCGCACACAATGCATGGAACCATTCAGGGGCCCCTGCACAGCCCGGCGGCATGGAGTCCTGCCGTTTGGGCCGCTCGCCGACAGCTCATGAGCTGGAGCCACCCAGGCGCGAGCGCTTCGCGCGCGCGCGTGGGCCCCAGTCGAAGACCACATGGGGCCTCGGGCCTCCCGACCTGGTCCAACGGATTTTCTCTTACGGATGCCGCACGTGCCAACCGAACGTGGCGGGCGTGAAGCGTGGCTCGACGTGGTCGCCGCCCTTCTCGACTCTCGATCTGCTGCTCCTCCTCCGCCCTGGGGCCAACTGAGGTCCTCCGGGTCCCTCCCGAGCAGCGACGCTCTGAGCTGCGCCTCGTGTCCGTGAAAAGCAGCTTCAAGACATTCCCCCTTCCGCTCCTCGCACCGCGGCCCGGAAACCACTTCTGACCTTGGAGTATGCAATCGCTTCGGACAGGCAAGAAGTGCGGGAGGAGGAGGAGGAGGAGGAGGAGGAGGAGGAGGAGGAGCTGAAGAACCCCTCCTCCTTCTCGTCCCCTCCAACCTCCTCCCATGTCCAGACGGGCCCCCCGCGCGGCGAAGGCGGGGACTGCAACGCTCTTCTTCCTGACGTCAAGACTTGCATCCGCCCTGAACAGGCGTCGGAGGCAGCTGCAAGAGTCCTCGTTCTCCTCCTCCAGCTCCCCACCTCCTCGTACTCCTCCTCCTCCTCCTCCTCCTCCTCCTCCTCCTCCTCCTCCTCCTCCTCCTCCTCCTCCCTACCTCCTCGTCCTCCTCCTCCTTCTGCTCCTCCTCCTGCCTCCCTGCCCCCTGTTTCTGATTCTCCAGGGTCGGGGCTCGGACCTGGCCCAGACCCCGTGCCCTACAGACGCAACAACAAAAAGAAAAACGGACCTGGCTCCGCGAACTCGGTCGCCAGCTACATCACATGTCAATGTCCACTACCGTCGGGGAGACGTAAGACCCGGGTACGGGGGACTCGGAAATCCCCGACGAGGTCGTCAAAAAAACGACGAGGCCGAGCCTGCATTTTGACGAGGCCTCCCGCTGCAGACATCCCACGAAACTCCTCCTCGTCAAAATCCGAGTCGCGGTCGTCAAAAAAAAATGGCGAACCCGAGTCCCGGCAAACCCGGGTCTTACGCTCCCCCGATACCATTAGGGCGGGCGTGTCCTCCTACAGGCGGGTTTTGGACGAACAATTAGAAATAGCCAAACAATGATCAACACATGCAACACAAACATAAAAAGATCGTCCACATACTATTTTTCGACTAGTCTTGAATATTCCACCTGTAGAGGGACACGCCCGTATTAACACCACCATGCCACGAGACACTGAGCGGAGTAACCTCCGGTTCCTTCGAGCTCTCCCTGTGGAGGCCTGTGACGCTCGTCGAACGCCCCGGGCCCCCGATTTCTAGAATCGGCCGCGTGGACTCTCCCGAGACCCCGAAAGCGCTCTGAGGGTCCCACACTTCCAACGTGCCCCAGAAAGATTGTTCACAAGTGTCGTCCTCGAGTCCTCTTGGGCGCTTCTCGGGCCGTCGTGAAGGACCCGGGGGCTGGCCCAAGATGCAAACATCACTGTCAAATTGTAAATTGTTGCGTTGAGACCGTCTCGGACGACCTAAGAAGTTAGAAATCCATCCGATCCTGGGGGTGAGGAGACAGCCCCCCGCCTTTTCCCCGCGCGGCGGCGCGCTCGGCGGGCTCACGCGCAGGACCGAGGCGCATGGCCAGAGGTCGGGCATGTCTCCCTACACGCGGATGTTGGATGATTTTGTTAAAAAAGCAATGCATACTCAAAAGTAGTCAAAAATACACCAAACATCGTCCCCATACTATTGTTCCACTATTTTTGAAGATTTCTCCTGTAGAGGGACAGACCCGACTGAAGCATGGCCGCGGGGGCCTGCCTCACATTGAGCAGGACCGACCGTCCCGGCATTCCTATAGGCCTACCAAGACATGCTCTTAGAGCCCAACAATGTTCTGCGAACAAGCCCTGGGCTCTTAGAACACAAGCCCGATGTGCCAACACAGAACAGACTCGACCAGAAGTGTCCCGAGAACAGTTCGTGCCGACCACAGAAGGTTCTCAGAACATGCTTCGGTGGGCCGACAGGCAAGCCCTTTGTGGGCCCCGGAAACGGCAAGGTCGTTTTTTCACCGTTTCCAAAAAGATGTCCCTTGAAAATGGAAACGGCAAAAAAACAGCGACCGGAAACGGCAAAAAAACGGCTCCAGGATTGGAACCGGAGCCGGAACCCGTCAAAAAACGGCGACGGAACCGGTAAAAAAACGGCGTCGGAACCGGCCAAAAAACGGCAGAACGGAACCGGTGAAAAAACGGCCCTGTCGTTTCCAGGGCCCACTAAGGGCAAGCCAGGACGCTTCGCCACTGCTCGATCACAGGAATGCGCGCCCCCGGCGCGCGCCCTGCAGCGCCCGGCACCCGCCCGTCGGCGGGCGGCGCGAGCACCTCGGGCGGGCTCCCGACGGACCCCCGGGCCAGGCCGAGCCCGCGGCCATTGCCCTGAGTCGGGCCTGTCCTTCTGCAGGAGGAGAAAAAATCGTCTCGGGGCGATGTTTTCTGTGTGGGAGTATTGCTGAATATGTTCTGACTATCTCCCAACCCTCCTTGGTTGGGCATTGGTTTTCAACAGAGCACCGCTCGCGCGTCCTTCTCCTCCTCCCGCCCCCCGCCTCCCTCCCGCCTCCCGCCCCCCCATCCCTATTCTCTCCTCTTGCCGTGCCTGGGGGCTGCGATCTGCGAAACTGTCGCCACTTTCGAGGGCTGGTGGTGGGTCCAGCGTAGTGAGGCACCGCGCAGCTATGAGCAGGACCTCGCCGTTCCTGGGGGGCTGTGGTCTCCGAAGCCGTCACCACATTCGAGGGCTGCTGGTGGGTCCAGCGGGTGAGGCACCGCGCAGATCTGAGCGGGACCTCGCCGTCCCTGGGGGCTGCGATCTGCGAAACCGTCGCCACTTTCGAGGGCTGCCGGTGGGTCAGCGGGGTGAGGCACCGCGCAGATCTGAGCGGGACCTCGCCGTCCCTGGGGGCTGCGATCTGCGAAACTGTCGCTACTTTCGAGGGCTGCTGGTGGGTCCAGCGGAGATTATTATCATCATCAACATCATCATCATCATCATCATCATCATCATCATCATCATCATCATCATCATCATCATCATCATCATCATCATCATCATCATCATCATCATCATCATCATCATCATCATCATCATCATCATCATCATCATCATCATCATCATCATCATCATCATCATCATTATTATCATTATCATCATCATCTTCATCAGCATCCCCTTCCTCATCCGCCTATTCCTCCTCCATTCCTCCCTCCTGCCTCTCCACCTCTCCAAACTCCGACTCGTCCTGCTCCTCCCCCTCCGATTCGTCGTTCATTTCCTCCTCTTGACGTATGGCGTCTTACCCAGTCATGGATTCCACTGCATGCTCAGCCACAGCTCTGATCAAGGCAACTCGTCTGGGCATCCATTCTGCACGGGCTGGTGGGGTGTCGCGAACCGTGCCGAATAATCACAAGAACGTTTTATGATCGAGAGCAGCTTCGAGGAGGAGAGGAGAGGAGAGGAGAGGAGGAGACGAGAGGAGAGAAGAAGAGAAATGGATGAGAGGAGAGGAGAGGAGAGGAGAGGAGAGGAGAGGAGAACGTGAGGAGAGGAGACGAGAAGAGAAGAGACGAGAAGAGAAGAGGAGAGAAGAGGAAAGGAGAGGAGAGGGGATGAGATGAGATGGGATGGGATGGCATGGGATGGGCTGAGACGAGACGAGGTGAGATGAGATCTTATGAGATGAGGTGAGACGATATGAGATGAGATGGGATGAGAGGTTCTGAGATGATAAGAGATGAGATGAGAGGCTATGTGATGATATGAGATGATATGATATGTCACGCTATGATATGAGATGGGTTGGCACGATATGAGATATGAGATGATATGGAATGAGATGAGATGAGATGAGATGAGATGAGCTGAGATGGAATGAGATGACATGATATGATATGGTATGAGATGAGAGGAGATGAGATCATGTGAGATGAGAGGAGAGGAGATGGAATGAAGAGACGAGACGAGAGAGGACGACACGCACGAGAGGGAGCACGTGCCGCAGCGCAGCCTCGCAATCAGAGGACACCGCAGGCATCGGCCAGCCGAGCATGCAAGCGTACACCCTGCGAAAGGCTTAAGAAATCATGGGTTAAGAAATTCATAGTCTCAGAACTTGAATGAAAACCCAGCATTTCTATCAAACTCTTGGGATTTACATTGAAACATTAAGAGTAATCGAGACTCTGGCCGAAAACTTAGGTTTTCTTAAGCATCGCCTGAGGTGTAGGCCCACACGTGGCTGGAGGAGAAGAGAGGAAGAGAGGAGCGAGAGGAGACACGACGTGTGCTGGTCGGCGGCGGGCCGGCTCCGGCAAGCTGTCGGAAGACCGGCTCTCCCCACCCTGGGCTTCGGCGGCAGGGGCGAGAAGGCGCGAGGAGGAAGAGGGGGGAGAGGCCGACGGGGGGAGGAGACGGAGCAACACCGGTCCAGCGCTGAGCGCTGGCGCAAGTCCGACGCAGGTCGCACGACGACGACGACGACGACGAAGAGCGACGGCGGCGACGACGACGACGACGGCGACGACGACGACGACGACGGCGACGACGACGACGACGGCGACGACGACGACGGCGACGACGACGACGACGACGACGACGGCGGCGACGACCCATCCCGGGCTTCGCCCGCCCCGCCGGACGCCTCGCGCCCTGCGCCGCGCGCGCCGCGATTGCACCGCGCGCCCCGAGCGCCGCGAGCGGCCCCGGGCCGCCCGCGCAGGCCTCGGCGACCTCGGGCGCCTCGGCCTCCTCTGCGTCCTCGGCCTCGCGGCTTCCAGAAGGGCCCAAAAGGTTCGCAGAAGGCATCTATACACCACCACCGTGCCAAGTCAGGGCCATTCCGGCCCTGGCACGGTGTATACGCCCTCCTGGCCGAGGCCAGGAGGGTCTATACACCATCCTGGGGCCCAGGCCTGACACGGTGGTGGTGTATAGATGCCTTCGTCGGACAGAAGGGGCCAAAAGGCACACCCGAATGGGAAGCACAGAGACATACCAGTACTGGATGTCCCACCCGGAGGCGCGCGTCCGACCCGAACATGCAGTATACCCGTCTTGTAGTTTAGTGTTTCCCGAGCGGTGTGGCCTGAAAGTGCCCGCCGCGACACATAGACTATAACATTTCTCGGTGCGCGCGTCGCCCCTGGGGGGGGCGACGCGCATATAGTGTAAGTATGTTGGGGTGACGCCGACCGAACGGACACTGTCAGCCGTCGCCCCCGAGAAATCCCTAAGGAGCCCCCCAGAGGCCCCCCAAAGGCCGCCAAGACGCCCGGAAATGGCCCCCCCAAGGCCCCCACGAGGTTTAAAAACTGTTTCCACCAGGCCCCACAACAGCCTCCTCCGCGCCCTCGGCCTCGCGGCGGCGACGGGCATACCGGCGGCAAACGACGGCGGACCGACGACGGCGACGGCGACGGCGACGGCACCCCTCACGCAAGTCGGCGGGGTCAGTCGAAAAACCCATGGGATTTGCCACATTTCTGAAATTCAATGGCACCCCTCACGCAGATCAGCAGGGTCAGGGTCGAAAAACCCATGGGATGTGCCATATTTCTGAAATCCGGCGGCTCCCCCCGCGCAGATCGGCGGGGTCAGGGTCGAAAAACACATGGGATTTGCCACATAAGGGATTCGCCACATTCCTTGGAATCACACCAGCCCTCTGGACGTCGGTGGTTTAGGGAGTTTCCTCTTCCACCCCTCCTTCTTCCCCTTCGGGGAGGGGTTTACCCCTCCCCTACCCCCTCCCCATGGACCTGGACGGGGGGGGGTCGCAAGTCGTCGGAGCGTCCAAAACGGCCTCGGCGAGGAAGTCAAAATCATTGATGTTACTACGGTTTTGGCCCCATTTTGGCCTCCTGTGGGGGGGACTGTAATTAACACCCCCCTCCTGTGATCGATCTCGAAAAGATGGCACAACGATGGCCCCCAAGGCTCCCAAGGGTGTCCCAAGAGGGCCCCAAGAGGTGGCCAGGAAACCCCAAGAAACCCCCAGGAGGCTCCCGAGATGCCCTCAAGAGGCTCCCAAGAGACCTCCAAGAGACCTCCACGAGGCCCCCTAGAGGCACCCAAGACGCTCCAAGAGGCCTCAGCGACAATGCCCAAATCGCTGATGTTGGGGGGCACTGCTTCAGATGACTCCAAGAACGCCTGGGGGAACCAAAGATGATCTCCGAGATGGCTCAAGATATCCCAAGATGCCTCAAGATGGCGCCCACGATGCTCCAAGAGGCCCTAAAACCGCTCCAGGACGGCTCCAAGTGGCCAAAGAGTTCCCCCAGGAGGCCCCGGAAAGGCCAACATCCTTCCATAACCTTGGGGAAATCAATGTTGTTGGCTTTCTCGCCGAGGCCTCAAGATGGTTCCAAGATGGCCCAAGAGAGCTCCAAGAACGCTCCCAAGGCTCTCAAGAGCGCTTCAAGTGCCCCAAGAGGCGTCCAGGAGGCCCCAGGAGACCCCAACAGGCGCCCAAGAGGCATCCAAGAGGCTCCCCAAAGACCCCTAAAAGGCCCCAGGAAGCTTTCCGAGGCACCCAAGACGCTCTAAGAGGCACCCAGGACCGCCAAAAGGCCCCCCAAACGCTCCAAGAAACCACCACTTGGGGGCCCTTCTTCTGTGTGCTGCCCGCTTCCCTGGTCGAGGCAATTCCTCAGGGCATCGTTTCTGGATGGGCTGGTGGGGATCCGCGAAGCGTCAACAATTCGGAGGCACTCCTCATGCAGGTCGGTGGGGTCAGGGTCGAAAACCACGGGATTTGCAACATTTCAATACTTCGTAGAAAAATTGAGGTCAGACGGCGGCGAATGGCGCATGTACACGCGTGACACACGCACTATCTCACACCCGTGAAACTTTATCACGAGCTAGCCGGCAGACCGCGCAGTACCGCTGGTCTCAGTAAGCCTCTAGGGGCAAGAAAAGGAGCACTCCCATGTTGGGATTACTCAAGTCAAAGGCAACCAGGACTCAGCCACTCCGTTCCCCAGTGGGGTAGCATTCGCTCTGGCCCTCGCCAGTTGTTGCTCGACCTTCTTCAAGGAAGATCCAGGGTCTGGGGTTACGTCATACGAGCTAGCACGTAAGATCTTAACGAGAAAGTATGTAGGCATACTCTTCGTTAGACAATCAACAACCATGATACATGTATCGGTTCACCGGATCTTATCACAAAATAGGCGTGGATGTAAAATCCCGACTTATTCCGTTCCATTCGTCCGCAGATCCTGTCCTAAGCAACCCAAATCGGTAATCAAGCGCTTATCTTCTGTCTTACCCATAGTTGGGGCTGTTAAGTGTTCTTCAAGGCTTATACGATCAGTCATCCATGGGCGTCTCATAGACATGGCTGATTTGTCTTCGAAAATTGGTTGGCAGCTTCTTTCCTGCGCCACCCTTAAGATCGGATGAGTTTTGAAAAACTAACTTGCGATAGTGACTATAAAAATTATGTTTAACTTATCTGAGACATATTATATTCCGACGGAGATACTTTCATTTTCTCTCCAGATAATTTTAAGTATCTCAGTGAGATAATTCAGAGTACCGAACATATTAACTGTGACCTACGTTATCACGTCTTCTGCCACAACAAATCTTCCTTCTGTGCACGAACGATAATTCCGATAATTCCACCGTGTCAACGCGCGCACGTTGCTTCTTGGGCAGGCTGGCGCGATCACGTGCAAGGTGGGTACTAATATTACATGCGGTCCCAAGTTGTTCATGCAATGCATGTGGCGGCGATTTGTCAGCATAACTGTGATGTAGTATTCGCCGCATGTTGTTTGGTGCAATGTGCCGTTATATTCGCTTGGTTGCGCCATCACCACACGATTCGCGTCAGCGCTCATCTGTGTGATACCTGCAAAATTCAGGGCCAAGCCGCAAGTCGTTTCTGGTCGCTCAGTTGCCCCGTTATGATGCTGGGTAAACTCACGCGAAAGCGCCAGAGGGCCAAGGCCCCTGCTGACTTGAGCACGCAGGCTTTGTGCGAGGTGTTGGAGAAACTGTACAAGGAGAAGGGCTCCCGCGACTTGTGGCGCATCATCCGGCGTGCGTTTGTTGTTGTTTTTTGGTTACCACGCATTTGCCAACAATTGTCGCCATTGTACGAATCAGGTGGCATCATAAATGCGCTCGTGCACAATCGTAGCATACATCCGCTAGTGATTTTCAGTCAGGCAATATCTTGCGCATTATATTGCAGCCCCATTCGGAAGAACGTCACGGAGAAGACCCAGCCAGAGCCCACGGTCATGTCTGAGTTTTGCGAGCCTCAGCGAGAACCTCGCCAAAGTGACTCCAAAAATGGTTGCGCACCATGTGAAATTGCGGACTGCCATTTACAAGACGCACCAGCAGGCTGTTTGTTTTTGACGCATATTGGGCCCGATGCCTTTAGCACGCAATTTTGAGCAGATGTAGTGGCATGTTCGGCTGGACCGATGTGCATTTATTCTCCGCGCAAAGAATTACGTGGGTAGTTCTAGGCACTCAACGATGGCATTGCGCAAAAAGTTCTATGTTTGCTATATGTGTCTCTATTCTCAATGCGAACGCGTATTTGCCTTTCTCGGAACTCACGAAAACGCGCGCGTTTGAGGCTGCCGTCCACATGTGCGACCTGCCCTTGGAGCACTTCTGCCACGACGCGGCGTGGTACATCAGAACGAGGGGGGCGAGGGGAAGGGGGGCAGGGCGGGGGAGGGGGGGGAGGAAGGGGCAGCACATGACAGAATAGGGAGGAGGAGGGGGAGATGTCTCGAGGACGCTGGCCTCCAAGTTCCGCGAGGTGCTGATGACCGATGGGAAGCTGGAGATCATGCAGGGCCAGGACTCGTGTTTTTATGGCACTATCGGTCCGACGAGGAATTTGCAAATGTAGCTGCCCACTTTCAATGCAGTTGCATCGGTTGCGAGAAGGATTGACTTTCGGCGCCCATTCGAGAAGCTAGGTTCCGATGGCCGATATCATTCGGAGAGCTGCCATGTATGTTTGGTTTACGTCCCTGCACGCTTGTTCGAGTTACAAATGCATGTTGTAGCTGGTTTGATCACGCACCTTATACTTGCGTCGCGTCTTGCGCGCCCCGTTTCCGCAATCATGCGTCTGCAATTGCAATTTCATGCGAAATTGAGGCGTGATTATCTTCCGGCGTCGGGTCACGAGATGGGAGAGATCCAGAAAGTTTTCAACCGCATGGCTGTGGAGCGCCAGCCGCCTGGGACGTGGGACACTAGCTCGCGGGGCCAATTGGCCCTGGAGGACGGAGACCCTGGCCTTGCCGCCGACGCGCCAGCCTTTGCCAGTTCGAGCGGTGATGTCGGCATCTTTGCTGCCATCCTGGGAGGCGCTTCCCCCGACGACCCCGCGCAGAAGGCGGTCGCCGCTCCAGACTCGGTCGAGCCAAGCCCGTTCAAGAGCATCTGGGGGGAGGCGTCTTCGGCCCGTGGTGACCTCGGCCACTTCAGTTGCGGTTTGTCTAAGAAGGACCAGGACTTGTTCTTGTCCGCCCTGGCCGCCGACCACGCGCCCCCGCAGCTTGGCGGCCAGAAGAAGCAGGCGCTCGGCAGCCAGACGCGCGCCGCGTCCAAGGGCGCTGCCGAGACCCCCCGTGCCAAGACGGGCAAGAAGCACCTGGCGGCGACTCCCTCGGTCATGAAGGCCATGAAGCACGCGAAGGGCACCCCCTCGGCCAAGAAAGCCGCCAAGCCACAGAATAACACGGATACCGTTGTCAGTTTGTATTTGCCGAATTGCT